TCCATGGCTGGGTAGTCCAGATAGTTCTGTGCCAGAGCTGCCCCAACCGATCAAATTGCGTGCGCAAATATGACAGACATGCAGTGCGTGCCATTGTTTTGCGTGTGCAGAGCAATTTGTGCTTAATGGCTAAGCTGCCAGTCCGCCTGCCATTTCCTGTTATCAATGCAGAAAAGGAACCTTTTCTCCGCGACACAGCAGCAACATTCCACCTTGCAAGTGCAACTCTTAAAAGTTTTGTTGGTAGGCTATCCTTGTCATTAGTTGTCCTTTTGTGGGGGGATATCTGATTGGATTTGGGGGCACAGATGGATTCTTTGGGGCTTTGGGTGTGGTTCGAAGCAGAGTCTTCGGGATGTGGTCAGAAGCTTTTTGTAAATGTCCTACAGCAAGCTGTGGGTTGCCTGGGGTTGGGCCAGGGGGGGTTGGTGGGGACTTAAGGCCTGGAAGCAGGCCAGCAGCTGCGCGCAGGCTTGGCGAGGCAACTTGCGCAGATGAACTTCGTGGTCCTGGTTTCGCCTCGAAATCAACGATTTTGGAGGAATTTTGTGGATTCAGCAGTCGGCCTGCCGATTTCAAGAATTTTCAATTTCTTGACCAAAACCCAATGCTTTTCCTGAAAGGGCTGGGGTCAATCTCGTGCAATCTCGCGCGGGCTTCTGCGCCCAAAAATCCTCGAACAAATTGGGCTGCGCAAGCTGCAAAAATGCTCTGCAAAGTGCTGGTTTTCCTTAGATTTTGGCTTGAAGGCAGGGGTCCAGGGCCTCATTTCGGGAAGGCGCCCCAGCTTTTCCCCTGGCTGGGGCCTGAAGTTGTTCGAGCATCTTGCGACCCAATCTCGTGCAACTCGTGCAAACTCGTGCAATCTCGTGCGATCTCGTGCGGCCTCCCTCCTCGCTTCCATTTGGCCCTCGATGGCTGGGGCGGTCTGCTTTTCATTGAAAATCAGCCTGGTGGCCCAAAATCGCTGATTTTTTCTCATTTGGTCTGGCGCGGGAAGTTTTTCTTCATGCCTGGCGCAGCGCTGCTGGCGGTTTGCCTCAAAGCGCATGTTTACGTTACAGTGCCCGGAAAGCCTTGCATTCTTGTTATGCGCATCATGTCAGCGCCTTCAGAGCAGCCTGCTCTACTTGATGACTAGCTGGCAGTGTTTATTCACGGCGCAGCAGCAACGGTAGCAGCAGTAGCAAGCAGCAGCAGCAACCAGCAGGAAGCAGCAGCAAGCAATGGCAACAGCAGCAGCAAGCAGCAAGCAGCAAGCAGAAGCAAGCAGAAGCAAGCAACAACAAGCGCCAGCAGAAACAGCAGCAGCGGCGGCACCAGCAGCACCAACAGCATGTACCAAGCTTGGCATGTCAGCTGCAGTACTGCTTGTAGCAAAAGAGCTGCTGCTGTCACTGCGGAGGTTTGCTTGAATTGCATGTGAGCGGGTGTGGTCCAAGGAACCCAGCCTGTTGCTGTGACGTAGCAACAATGAGCGTAGACAGTGTGTTCATGGATGCTTCCGTGCCACGCCCTGGGAAGAGAGCAAAGTGTAAACATGGTTCTCTGCTAGACCTGGCGTCGAGGAGAGAACTGCCAGCGGGCCCCAGTAGCCTTCAGGAGATGTTCAGTTTTGCCTCAGAGATCTTGAAGACATGTTTCAGAGATGCTGAGTGTGAGAAGAGGTTCCGAGCCTTGCTGCAGCACGGTGTCGTAGAGAGCAGTGACTACAGCGGTGTGTTTGCAGAAAGGCAGGCGAAGGCTATGCTTTTCCAGACGCTTGAAGAAGATTATGGTTGCCGTGTGCAACACACGGTAACCAGAATGTGCGACATTGACAGGAATTGCCAACAAGTCTTAGCGCATGCGTCTGAAAATTTAGATTCAGGTTCCTCCTGTGTGTTTTTTGACATTCGGGAATTAGTTCTGCGTGAAGCGCAAGACTGCCTCCACCGGATGGTGCCTGGCAGAGATGAACCTCCGGCTGACCGCAAGCTGAAGTATGATGAGATGCGCAGATGGTTATTCCAAAACGGCAATTTGGCTGTGCGCCAGGACTCCGTTTTCTTGCGCTGCAGTGCTGGGACTTCTGAAGTCTGAAGATCAGTTTGTGTAGCTTTGTTGGGCACATGTAACAGACAACAGGAATGTCAACATGTTTGCAGTCAAACCTCTTGCTTGCACCTCTCAGGATCATGTGGCAAATTGTTTCATGCACAACAAGCTCTGCCAAGTCCACAGGCCCCGGGAGGAGCTGCAGAACCCTGCAGCGCTGGTTGTCAACTCAGCAGGCACATGCTGTCAGGCCTGGAGTCCTGAAGGGGGCCGCTCGCGGCATGCGCACGACTCGATGCACCCCCTAGCAATCTGGTTAACTCAGCGTCGAGAGCTTGCTCAGCAGCAGCAGGAGAGCATGTTTTTTCAGGAAAATGTGCCGTCCTTCGACGTGCACAAGTGCATCGTGAAGCCCCTGGAGGACACCCACGACGTGCTTTATGTTCACACAGGACCGCGGACTTTCGGATGGCCTGCAAACCGACATCGACTCCTGACAGCAGGACTCTCAAGACAGGAGCTGGTCTGGGTCGGACCAGACACCCAGGAAGGAATCCAGCAGCAGTTTGACAGCATGTTCAGCAGGAGGTGCCTCTTGACAGGCTCAATCTTCTTTCAGGCCAGCCAAGATGACATTGCAAGCTGGGCCCAGGAGCTTGCTGACAAGCGCTTCAGGGGCAACAGCCAGCCACTTCCAACCTCAGGCCGAGGTATGTTGACTGCATGCCTCAGCCCCGGACAGCTGCAACGGCTGGAAGCTTACAAGAAGGTTTACCTGCAGCGGTGCGCCCTTGATGGCACCATGCTCGCCGACTTGGACCACTGGCCGGACTCCCCGGGCCCAGCCGCTGGCCCCAACTTCCCCACGTTGTTGCGGCATGGGTGCATTGTAGATTTGAACAGGCCTGAAAGGATTGCTCAGAACGTAGACAGATGGCTGTCCTTGGGCTTCCCAGTTGCGGATTCTGCTACGACAAGATACACGTGGCCTCTCAAAGACTTTGTTTTCTCCTTCCCAGACAGAGTGCAGAAAAGCTTCTCAGGCAATTGCCAATCCTTGCCTGCAATCTTGGCATGGACAGTGTACGTTTGGTGCAATGTTGTGCGCCGAGATCCAGGAAGCCCGGCCGCAGGCACGTTGCGCTGTTGGAGCAATGAGTTCCTAGATGAGGAGGCTGAGGATGTTCATGTTCCGGCAGCTTGCAAGAAAGCAAGATGTCCCAGCCCGTCTAAGTAACGTGTTGCCCGGGTAGCGATACGAAGTTATTTTTTCATCATAGCGGGTGTCCCCGCTTGATTAGGTTTCACAGTGGGAACATGGCAGCGCAGGGACTTGCGCTTCCTCTTCAGGAAGAAGTCTGGATTGTCTTGCTTCAGGTAGCATTGCGCACCTTGCAGGTCCATGTCCATCCAGGTAGGCTGATCCGAACAGTGAACACTGTCCATGATCATGATTGACGATGGCTTGCTGTTTCAAGAAGCCCTTGTAGCCTGTTGTGCTGTCATCGAAGTATTCCAGCTGCCCTGAAGTCGCCATGGCTGCCCATGCCAGGGTCTTAATGAATTTCTTAATGAAATTTCTGCTTCTGCTGTAGGGCATGGACTTAGATTAAGCCCTTTTGCCGCGTTGCGTGCTTCAGGTCCCCCCCGCGCTGCCGCTCGCAGACGCTGCCGCCGTGGCCGTGGTTCAGCCGCCCAACGCGGCTGTGGCCTTGGTCCCGGCCGGTGCAGCTGAGCCTGCAGCTGAACGTCCCCGCAAGATAAGCTCGAGGGGGAACATAGCCTTGGAACACTATGCAGTGATGGACGCGATGCCGAAGGAAGCTCTTCCGGCAACCAGACCGAGGGGTGCCCATCAATACACCCTGACCTATGATTGCAGGATCTCCATTCAGGTTTGCCTGAAGCTCGGGCAGTTCCGTGTGAAGTCTAGAGACTGGCCACAGGAGCTTTCGTTTCCCTTCAGCGCATGGGGTGTTGCCTATGCTTGGGCAAAAGCAGAGTCAGCGGCCCAGCAGTGGAAGGAGGAATTTCGCCGCCTCGGGGGCCGTGCTGACCATGCTCATGCTGATGGTGAAGTCCGCAATCAAGTGGAGAACGCCGCCAACCAGTGAGGACTTTGCCACGTGCAGTAGTTGACAACTTGGGGCTGTAGGAGCAGGTAGGGGCTTGGGGTCATGAGCTTGAAATGCTCAGCTCAGACTTTCCGCTTTCATGTGTGCAAACACGTGGTCGGCGCAATCCTTCTGAAGCGATGGGGTTGACAAATGCTTTGTGCGCAATCTGCTCTTGTTTCGAGTGTGTGCTTTGGGCAGCCCATGTCTTGAGTCTTCTCAGAGTCTCACGCTGTCACATGCCTCTAGTGGTACTTTGTGAGGCTTGTAGGGATTTTCTGAAAAGGGCTTCAGGTCTATGCGAGGGGTTCATTCCGGAACGTGATTTGCGCCCCTCACTTCTTGGGTCTTGGGCCTGCTGTTCATCTCAAGTGACTCAAGTGTTTTTTGCTAGGTCCTGCTAGGTGCCTTTTTAGGCCTCTTGTATCAGCATTAGGCGTTGACCATGGCTGACCAGAACATGTTCGATGAAAACGAGGTTGCACCGCCCCCCGCAGCCCCAAAGGGTAGTGCAAAGTCCAAGGCAAAGGGGAAGGCCAAAGCCAAAGCAGTCAACAAAGCTGAGTACGGAAAGGGTCCCAACAAGAAAGCGCCCCAGGGAACATGTATCTGTCCGTCTTGTACATTTCCTAAATATCCCGGCTCGCGCTTTTGCGCAGTCGGGGAGCATAAAAGAGCATATGATAACATGCAGTACCAGGCTCGTCATCGAAAGGATGTTAGCGTCACCCAGCGGCAAGGTTTCCAGGATGACATGGCCAACGATGAGATTGCGGGCCGGGAAGTGGAAAAGTTTGCGCTTGACAATCCGCCGGAGCTGAAGCGCAAGGCCCTGCTCGACTTTACCAGGTTTGAGAGAGTGCGTGGAGTGAAGACTGCCACAGCTGATGATGATGGAGATCTTCCCATGACCGAGGCGGCCTTTATGAAGCACTGCTCCAATGTTTTAGGGCTCACAGATGAGGAAGCTGAGGATTATTGGAAAGAGCTCTACGCCGACAAGAAGGTCGCGCGTGACTACCTTGGTTACAAAGGGCGGGAGCGGCTTTGGATCCCTTCTGCTGCCTGCATGAGAAGGCGCACCAAGGAGAAATACTTGGACCAGCGCATGGTGGAGGGCTCCGAGAACATCAAGAACCCGACCATGGAGCAACGTGACATGCTCCGGCGGCACCTGGCCAGGCAGGACACGAGCTTCAACGACGAGCACTTCGACTTTGGAGAGCCCGGAGAGCTTGCCACCCCTGTCAAAAGCAAGAGCAGCAATCCAGGCCAGGACCTTGAGAATATCACCCCAGAGAAGCCAATCAATGTGGTCCGTGAGCGCACATCACTACACCGCCAGCTTGAGAATGCCATCCGGAAGCAGACAGCAGAGTTGAAGAAGCAAAACTTGCACTGCCTTGCAGCTAAGGACATGTTTGACAAGCATCCTCCACAGCTCAAAAGCGCGGACCGTGGCCTCTTGAGTTTTGCCAGACTGTTGCAGTTCAGGCAGGAGTGTGGAGTGAGAATCCTGGGCTTGCCCACGGATATCATCCAGCTTGTGCCGGATGCAGCAGCTGCAGACTCTGAGGGACAGGCAGGAGCTTCTCCAGCGACTCCAGGCAGCGTGTTCAGTACCTTTGACGCGACTGCTGTCCAGGGCCAATGCGAGGACAAGACGAAGATGCTATTCCCGCAGTGGGTGAGGTCCCAGCGTGTCCAGAAACTTAAGTTCTGGCCAGGGGAAGCGGATGCATTGAAAACAATCGCGGATTTGCAAGACATGGCTGAGAGGCTCCTTGATATCGAAGATGCCAAGGCATTCTTGGACTTTAAGGCGGAGTTGCAGCCTGTCGAGAAAGCTTTGCTGACTGTCCCCAAGGCCATGAAGCAGGCAGGTGACGATTTGATGCGGCATCTGAAGAGCAGGGTAGCTGAGGATGCCTGTGAGAAGAAGCGTTTTCTGGCTGCACATGTTTAGGTTCTTGAGCAGTTCTAGTAGTTAAGCAAAGTCGTAGTTGTGGTTGTTATTGGTTTAGAGTTTAGGGCCGTTTTGGGGGGTTTGGGGGAGTGCTGCTAAGGCCACCTCTCTTGTGGTGGTGTTATGGGGGGTGTTGGGGAGATTTTGGGGGGTGTGTGGGAGGCCTTATTTGTGGTGGTGTTATCGGGGGGTGTTGGGGAGGTCTGGGGAGTCTTTGGGAGGCCTTGCTAACCGTGTTTTTGGTGGTGGTATGTCTAGCTTGGATTTCCGGCTGAGCCCCTATCCCAAGTCTTGATGCTGTCACGGTTGTTTTTAATGATGCCCAAACCTCTAACCCTGGACCTTGAGAATTTAACGCCTAGCACCGAAGCTCCAAATGGCAGCGCAGACGATTTAAATGAAACCCAAACCCCACGTTAGCCAAGGCAAAGCGCAGCAGGATGCAGCTGATCAAATCAAGAAGGTTCGCACCGAGGCCAAGGAGGCAGCTGACGAGATCCGGAGGAAGCAGACAGAGAAGACGCAAAAAGTGTCTCCTCTCTTCACGGCCACCTTGAGCGCAGAGAAAATCCCAGCTGTGTGCGTGCTCAGCAATGGTGGCAACATTGATTGGTCCAAGCCATGGCTCCAAAGCAACCCAGACAGCTTGAAGCTTTGCCTTGCAGATGCCCAAGTGCAGAAAGCGTTGGCAGCATGGGGCGCGCAGTTCACAAAAGTGTGTAGCGCTCAAGGTTTGCCCATTGTGACGCACCCTATGGAAAAGCAGGCAAAGGAGAACTTCCACAAATTCGTCATGGGTCAGGTCCCTGAAGGGGATCAGTTGGATCTGAAGCCGGTAGCTGGCGGTGAGGCCTTTCAAAGTGCTGCTTGGCTTTTCGGGTGCTCAAGTAACATGAAGCATTTGGCAGCCCTGCCAAACCATGCCTGTTTGTTTAAGGTCATTGCTTGTGGGCAAATCCGAACGTTGCTGGTAGAGGTAGATTCTCTTCGTGCAGGCATTGCAGAGATTCAACAGAAGCCTGAACTCCTGGGCCTCTCAGAAGCCTTGAACTACTTGCGTGATGCCGACGAAGCTGCCTTAGGCAGCCTTTGTGATCACAAGGTTGTCATGCGTCAGGTCGCGCAGAGCAAGAATGATCTGCTGTTTGTGCCAGCGGGTTGGTTGATGATGGAGGTTGCTGCCAGTTCAGGTGATCTGATTTTCGGCCTTAGGAAGTCCGTTTTCATGCGCCGATTTTCCAAGGAGTATGAAACGGCCATTGCTCTTCAAGGGAGCACTGGCACTGACAGGATGAAGCAAATTCTCGAAATCATGAAGTCTGCCGGGACTCAAGGTTCTAGCTGAGTTTCACATCGATGATTGTGCCTGCGATACATCGCAAAGAACTTTCAGTAACTTTAGAGTCAGTAGATCGTGTGCTGTTCAGAAGTTCAGCTTGTGATTTGCTAGCAGCCGCTAGCAAAGCGCTAGGAAGGGGGCACACAAGCCAAGCTTTCAAGGGGAAAGCATGCGGCGGTGTGGTAGGGCCCTCTGGACTTGGGACTTGTGCAGTCTACGCACAGCCGGCACGCGATCGCAGCAACAAGTTCTTGCTGGGCAGGGTTGAGGGCTGCAGGTTATGTAGTGCAAGCTTGGGATAATTCAAATCTTCCCTTATCTTTCCTGACAGGGCCTAGGGATCTTCTGATTGCAGCTGTGTAATTGCTGGTGGCTTCATGTGTGGTTCCTCGCAAAGTTGCTCCAGGGCTAACTGGCTTGTGGCAGCCAAACGTGCGCAGCATTGTTTTTGATCCTTTGAAGTCGGCCCTGTCGGCTCTTCCTAGCATTGAGCTGCAGAATTCCCCAAAACATCGGATTGTTCACTCTGTCGGCCCTTCCTAGCTTTAAGCTGCAGAATTCCCAAAGCATCGGATTGTTCACTCTGTCGGCTCTTCCTAGCATTAAGCCGCAGAATTCCCAAAGCATCGGATTGCTCACTCGCCACGAGGGGGCGTGAGCTGGGGAGGGTGTAACGGGTTCTAGTCTTAACTAAGTATTAGGTCTGAGTTGCGCGCGGCTAAGCAGAGAACCGCGCCTGCTGCTGGTTTTTGGGGGGTTGGTCGGCTAGGGGTGTCCCCGGTTTAGGTAGGGCCGGCCTAGGTTTTTTTTAAAAAAATTTTCCACCGAAAAAATAGGGTTTAGACCTTCCCTCACCCTAGCCTGAACCCTGGATGCTCTGGTCTTTTCTTTTTGGATGCTCCTTTTTGTTTTCTTGATGCTCTTGATGCGTGTTTCCCGTTTTGGATGCGCCGGATTTTTTATATGATGCTCTGTGATGCGTTTTTCTCGTTTTGAATGCTCCGGATGTTTTATTTAATGCCTTGGATGCTTTTTGGATGCTCAGGGCTATTATGTCTGATGCACATTGTTTCGCCTGGCACCATGCTCATTCTGGCTGAAGCCTCCCACAATGGTTCTGGAGTCTGTGCAGGTTTCCTAGTTTTGGATTGTTTTTCTGTGTTTGGCTGTCACGCGGAGCTCCTGTCAGAAAATCCTTCAATGTGAGGATGTCAGTGCACATTGGTAGTGGAGCCATGTTTTCAATATTGAAAATCCTTAGTCAGGCAGCTTTGTTCTTTGCCATTGGGGAAACCACTGCGCGAGAGAAATCTTGCAAGTTAC